AAGTGGTAGAGCGCTAGCCTTGAGCTGAAGAGCTGAGGGACAGTACCCAGGCCCAGAGTTCAGGCCCCACGACCGGACCCCCCCCCAAAAAAAAAAGAATTCCCTAATACTGACACCAAGGACAACTATTGACAATATTTACAGAATACATGCTACATGAGTGATGTCTTCCAAGTAAGAGCTGTTTAGTACTCACAGCAATCCTATTAGACAGTTTGGTGGGCCAATTCTAAATTGGCCCCCAGTGATCCCTTTTCTCCTGGTATTCCCAGTCCTGTAATCCTCATGTGTACTTGACAATAGCAAAGGTGATTTGAGGTTACATCCAGGATAAGATTACAGAAGAATGTACCTTCCTTCCATCTTCTTAGCGTAGTTTCATTTGCTAACACTACCTTCTCTTGCCCACTTCTATGAAACAAGCAGAAATGTTGAGGAGGTCATCGTGGCAGGAACTAAACTCAGCTTTCAGTCAACAGTCAGCTAGACATTAAAAGAACTCAATGCCAACAGCTCTCAAAAAACAAATTCTGACATCTAGTCTGTTAGCTTTACGTGGATCCTTCCATATCTAAGCCTTTGGATGAAACCTCAGCCTTGGCTGAGACTTTGTAACCCTGTGGTGACAAGGACCCAAGTAAGTCCTGCCAGGATTCTTGATTTGTACAAGGTTTTTTTTTTTGGCCAGTGCTGGGGCTTTGACTTTGGGCCTGGGCACTGTCCCTGAGCTTCTTTTGCTCAAGGCTAGCACTCTACCACTTGAGCCACAGCACCACTTCTGGCTTTTTGTGTTTACGTGGTACTAAGGAATCAAACCCAGAGCTTCATGCATGTAAGGCAAGCACTCTACTACTAAGCAACAGTCCCAGCCCCTTGTACAAGTTTTGAGATAATAAATATGTGTTACTTTTAAGCCCTAAGTTTTGTGGTAATTTATTATACAGCAATAAATAGCTAACACACATAAGGACTATTATCATTTTACAATGAGCAAAGTAGGTACAAAAGATTAATATCTGGTCCAAAAAAAATCACAATAGTAATGACGAAGGAAAATGGAGCTGAAGATTTTTGCCTACATTCATTACATTATTGAATAACATGGACATTCCGATGCTGTAACATAGTATGTCCACCAGAATGGTTTCTTGTCTTAAGCTCCATTGTGAATCTTGTGATGCTGAGTGAGGTGTGAATGCTGTCGAAAGGCCTTTTTACACTCCTTACATTTGTAGGGTTTCTCTCCAGTATGAATTCTCTGGTGTTGGGTGAGAAATGAATAAAGTCTAAAGGCCTTGCCGCATTCCTTACATTCGTAAGGCTTCTCGCCTGTGTGAATGCTCTGATGCTGAGTGAGCTGGGAGAGCAGTCTGAAAGGTTTTTGACACTCCTTACACTCATAAGGCTTCTCGCCGGTGTGAATGCTCTGATGCTGTGTGAGCTGGGAGAGCAGGCGAAAGGCCTTCCCACACTCCTCACACTCATAGGGTCTCTCGCCCACATGAATGCTCTGATGGGAAATGAGTTGGGAGTAACTGCTGAAGGTCTTCCAGCAGTCCATACACTCATAGGGCTTCTCACGGGTATGGATTCTCTGATGGCGGACAAGCTGCTGCCGTAACCTAAAAGTTTTCCCACATTCCTTACATTCGTAGGGCTTCTCGCCCGTGTGAATACTCTGATGGACGGTCAGTTGCTGGCATATTCGAAAGGCCTTGCCACAGTCCTTACATGCATAGGGTTTCTCGCCAAAATGGATTTTCTGATGTACTCTAAGGTCTGGGCCACACACGAAGGCTTTCCCACATTCCTTACATTCATAGAGCTTCTCGGAATTATGGAGTCTCTGGTGTCGAGTCAGGTGCGTGCACTGTCTAAATGTCTTCCCACAATCTTTACACTCATAGGGTTTCTCTCCGGTGTGGATCCTCTGATGCCGAGCCAGCTGCTGGTGCACGCGAAAGGCTTTCCCACACTCCTTGCACTCGTAGGGTTTCTCCCCGGTATGAAGTCTCTGGTGCTGCGTTAGTTCCTGGAGCACTGTAAAGGCCTTCCCACATTCCTTGCACTCATAGGGTTTTTCGCCAGTATGAAGTTTGTGATGGCGAATGAGGTGCGCTCGCTGTCTAAAGGGCTGCCCGCAAACCTTACATTTATAAGGTTTCTCACCTGTGTGGATCCTTAGGTGCTGACTAAGTGTTGAGCGCCGAATGAAGGTCTTCTGACATTCCTTACATTCATACAGCTTCTCTCCATTATGAACTCTTGGATAGTCAGTAAGAAAACTGTGCTTTTTGTAAGTAGTAACTTTACCAGAGGTAAGTTTCACCTGGCCCAAATAACTCTCTTCTTGTTCTTTTTGCTCCTCGGTCTTGCTTTTGCATGCCCAATCATGTCTAAAGATGGAGCCCTGTAAGCTATAGCTTTTCATTCTTTCCATTATCTCCCATTGTAAGGAAAATATTTCATAAATGTCCCTTTCTGGAGATGAAGTATTGGCATTGTATCTGGACTCCCAATCTGAAAGGAGACAAGAAAGCAAACACGTGCTCTCAAAAATAATGGATTAGGGAACTGTGAAGCTGAGCTGTGAAACCTGGAAAAGGTTTGAGAGGCTGGAACGCCACTTTGACAGTACTTGGAACACTGAGAACTGGCCATGAAAGGGTTAAAAGAGACAGCTATGGAGAGGGTTAAGAGACTGAAATGCTGCTCCCCTTCCTTAGTGCTAGAAGGGCTGGGAGCTAGACCTTGAAGGGCAACAAAGGGCTGAGGACTAGACCCTGAAGGCTAGATAAATGGAATACGTATCTGGACTTGGCCTGGGTCGCAGTCTTCAGGAACCAGTGTTTCTCAAACTCTGTTTTGGCTCTGATTGCAATGTTAGTATAGATGTTTAATGTTTTTCATCTATTTATGGTAACCTTCCCTGTGTGAACTCAATCAATATACTCACGTGGTAATTTGGGGTCCAAGAGCTAATGAGCCTTGGGGCCCCTGGTCCCCACTAAATTTGTCTCTTTATTTTCTCTTTCTTCGGCTCCAATATCCTGTCCCACTGCCTCGGTTGTGGTTAACAACAAATGCTTATTACAAGTAAAGGACTAGATCTCTCCCTCTCTAACACAGGTATATATATAAAATCCCTGCCTCCTACAATACTATATACCAAGAATAACAGACTAAGGGCTGTGGTAGAGTACTCAACTCTGTGATTTTATTAGTAGTAGACTAACAAATATAGCAGATATCTCAAGGGGTAACCTAAACAGTGGCTGAAGGTCACTTTATGAATAAAAACACACAGAAGTAAAGTAGAAATTCTATACTTCATACACTATAACACTGTATAGGTAAATAAAGCCTGATTTGAGCATGGTGATGTGTACTTACAGGCCCAGCCATTAGGGACACTAAGGCAGAAGAATCACTTGAGCCCAGGAGTTCAAAACCTGACTGAACAATATAGTGAGATGAAAAAGACAGACAGACAAAAAGGGTGAGAGGAGGAGGAGAAGGAGAGGGAGGGAAGAGAGAGGGAAGAGTGGGAGGGAAGGGGAGAAGAGAGGGAAGGAGGGAGGGAATCCCAGAGCCAGTTTGGAAGCCAAGGTGGGAGGTAAAAGTATGGTGAGACACAGGTAGTCGCAAGGGGCCATGAAAGAATGATGGTGCATATACCTCAGAGAAGGAAGCCCTGGGTTCATCTAGCTACTACATTTCTTTTCTTTTTTTTGGTCGGTTGTGGGGCTTGAACTCTGGGTCTGGGCGCTGTCCCTGCACTCTTCAGCTCAAGGTGAGCGCTCTACTGCTTGAGCCACAGTGCCACTTCCGGTTTTCTAATGGTTTATAGGAAATAAGAGTCTCATGGACTTTCCTGCCCGGGCTGGCTTTGAACTGCAATCCTCAGAGCTCAGCCTCCTGAGTAGCTAGGATTACAGGCGTGAGCTACTGGCGCCCAGCTACTACATTTCTTAAAATGGAAGTGAAAGGGCTCCTGACAATAAAGCATCAAGGTTAAGGACTTTTCATGCTGAATCTTACAAAGCTCCACTAATTTGGTCCCACTCAGCTGGAAAAATATAAACTGACTATCTTGAAGGACTGGAGCTGTGACTCAAATGTTAGGGAGACCCTGAGTTCAATATCCGATACCAAAATAAAACAACAAAATCTCAAGGTTTTATTTTCCCTATAGGCAAGTTAGTTCAAAATCCATAGGGAAAAATAAACAGCCATCAGAAAGGTGGAGAGAAAGAACAAGGCAAAGGGAATATCTCAAGAGATGCTAGAAGTACAAAAAAAAAACCAAGTGCCAATGGCTCATGTAATAATCTTAGCTATTCAGGAGTATGAGATCTGAGGACTGTGGTTTAAAGCCAGCCTGGGCAAGAAAGTGTATGAGACTCTTATTTCCAATTAAGTACTGAAAAAGCGAGAAATGGTGCTATGGCTCAAGTGGTAGAGCACTACTAGCCTTGAGCACAAAAAGTTCAGGGACAGTGCCCAGGCCCTGAGTTCAAGCCCAGGAATGGCACCAAAAAAAAGTAAAAATAATAACATAGGATGTTGATAATAAAAAGAGTAAGCTTGAGGTTTGAGGCATGGCTCAAGTGGTAGAACATCAACCAGTGAGGGAAAGCATAAAATACTGAACTCAAGACCCAATCTTAGGTCAAAAAAAAGAAAAAAACATTAAGCTGTTTTGAGTAAACAAACTACTAATAACATTGATGTTTTATCTAAAACAAATATGTACATAAGCATGTATATTGGGATAAATAAGTTAGTATAGACACATTTCTTTTGTTGTTGTTGTTGTTGGTCATGGGGCTTGAACTCTGGGCTTGGGTGCTGTCCTTCCTTGAGCTCTTTAGCTCAAAGCAAGCACTCCAGCGCTGGAGCCACAGTGCCACTTCCGGTTTTCTGCAGGTCAATTGGAGATAAGTCTCAACAGACTTTACTGCCCAGGCTGGCTTTGAACCATTATCCTCAGATCTCAGCCTCCTGACTAGCTAGGATTACAGGCATGAGCCACTGGCAATCTCCCTCAAATTCACACACACACACACACACACACACACACACACACACACACACACACACACACACACACACACACACACACACACACACACACGAAGGAGATTAGAGCTGGCCCTTGTGAAGGGATTTGAGAAAACAGCAAGCAGGCAGCCATTCATAGGCAGAAGGGACCCTTACCAGAACCTGCCTATGCTGGCATGCCACGCCTACTCCAGTGGAGTCTGCTTAGCATGGGAAACCTGCTTTCAGACCTGAGAATAGGGCTTCAAAGAGGCCTACCTCCTGGAAAGGCTGGCAAGCCCCTGGGAAAGATGTGTTTCTGCTTTTCTTTTCTTCACTGTATAAGAGTGCCTATTAATATTTTACTGTTTCTGCTGTTCATTGTACTTACTCATTGTCAACGTTCCCTTATTCAAAGCTCTTTCTTAAGAGTGTTGACGACTCCAATATCTGATGAGTGTCTTACAAATATGACTAACTCACCAGAGTTAAGTGCTACCCTGAAACCCCTCTTATGGAGGCTAGTAGACAAGTCATAAGTAAATATAAAAGTATTAGGGGTTTCACGATGTCACTTCAGCAGAAGGAATTGTTTGTAAGAGATTTGCAAGAAGCTGTAGGCTCGGCTAGAACAGAAAGAATGTATGGCAATTGCTGAGATAACTACTTAGGAGAAAGAACTTCCTGTTACTCTCTTTCATTTACTAAGAGACTTGCTAGATCTAGGCCTCTGTGACCTTACAGGAAAGATCTTATGGGACAGTTAAGGCCTCTACAGAAATAAGGTAATGGTTAGTTGGTGACAAACATCGAAACCCATTATATTTCTTAGAGATAAGCCGGGAAACAAGTGCCTATCAGGCGACCAGCTGGTGACCACCCAAGAATGAAGCCCTGCAGCAAGATTGTGTAACCTTTTGCCCTTTCAGGCAACCAGCTAGTGACCACCCAAAAATGAAGCCCTGCAGCAAGATTGTGTAACCTTTTGCCCTTTCTTATGGAGTCTTTTGCTATAAAAGTTTGTTATCCTCTGCATTAAATCGCACTCAGCATCCACTCCTCTTGTGTGTGGGTTGTCTGTTTGCCATCTCCCCACCTATTCCAGTTCCTCCCCTAGGTGTCCTCTGTTGTCCCAACAGAGCCTGTCCGTGGCACTGGCACACTCAGCTGGGCCCTCTACAACTGTGAGAAAATAAGTACCTATACATAGCTTATGCCATTTTCAGTAACTTATATAGGTTGACAGAAAGATGACACTGAAGTTCCAGGTCAAAGAAACAGCCACTCTTTTTGGAAATGTTTTATCCAACCTCGGCATTTCCATTTTCACTTTTTTTTTTTTGGTCGGTCGTGGGGCTTGAACTCTGGGCCTGGGCGCTGTCCCTCAGCTCTTCAGCTCAAGGTGAGCGCTCTACCATTTGAGCTACAGTGCCACTTCCGGTTTTTCTGGTGGTTTATTGGAGATAGGAGTCTCACGGTCTCTCCTGCCCGGGTTGGCTTTGAACTGCGATCCTCAGATCTCAGCCTCCTGAGTAGCTAGGATTACAGGTGTGAGCCACCAGCGCCCGGCTCCATTTTCACTTTTTATTTGGAAAGACTTGTAAGTTCATAGGAAATTGTACAGAAATATACAAAAACGTCCCATGTACCCCTCATCACAATATTCAAGCCAAGAAATTTGTTAGTATATATGGTATAATCCACAGAACCTGGATTTCACAATGTATGCATGCATCCATCTATATGTCTAGCTCTATGCAATTTTATCATGTGTAGCCCTGCATTAATGCCTGCCATAATCAAGATACTTAATTGTACCACAAGCACAGGACTCCTGTTACTCTGTTACAGCCCTAACCACCCTAACCATTCTATATCTCCATTTGTCTTGTCATATGATGTTTATATGTTTGGGTCTGTATATGTGCATATGTGTGGCAATACTGGGGCTTGAACTTGGGACATCATGCTCTTTTTTTTTTTTTTTAGTCAGTTGTGGGGCTTGAACTCTGGGCCTGGGCACTGTCCCTCAGCTATTCAGCTCAAAGTGAGCACTCTACCACTTAAGCCACAGCGCCACTCCTAGTTTTCCAGTGGTTTATTGGAGATAAGAGTCTCATGGCCTTTTCTGCACGGGCTGGCTTTGAACCATGATCCTAGATCTCAGCCTCCTAAGTAGCTAGGATTACAGGCGTGAGCTACTGGCCCAGCACATCATGCTCTTGGTTGTTTTTTACTCAAGACTGGCCCTCTACCACTTTAGCCACAGTTCTACTTCTGCCTTTTTGGTGGTTAACTGGAGATAAGAGTCTCAGGGACATTTCCCCCCTGGGTTGACTTTGACCTGTGATGCTCTGCATCTCAGCCTCCTGAGCAGCTAGGATTACACATCTGAGCCACCAGCACCTGGCTTGGATCCTATTTTTGAGATAGGGTCTCAATAACTTTTGTTTTCACTCCAGATGGCCTTGAACTGTGATTAGACAGGTGGATTACAGCTGTATCACCACTCCCAGATATATTACTTTTTGTTGTTTTCTTCTACTGAAAACAGCTTCTCTCTTTGATGTGGAAATGAAATCTGGAAAGTGAAAACTAGTGTTATCAGGGAGCTGGTGTCTCCTGCCTGTAATCCCAAGCTATTCAGGAGGCTGAGATCTGAGAATCACTGTTCAAAGCCAGCCCAGGCAGACTCTTATCTCCAGTTACCACCAGAAAACCAGAAGTAGAGTGTCTCAATTGGTAGAGTGCTAGCCTTGAGCTGGAAAGACCAGGGACAGCTGCCAGGCTGAGTTCAAGCCCCATAAATGACAAACAACAACAACAACAAAAAACACAGTAATTTTGCTAGTCCACACATGAAAGAGCTTAATGTGTTTCAGGGTTCCTTAAGCCCTCTCCTCACAAGCTTTAGAAGACAGATAGCTAACAACAAGTCAAGAGTGTGCCTTCATACTAACTAGCTTGGCTAATTCCTAAAATAGTAAATTTTTCCATTCCTGCTCAGCTCTTACTTACCAGGGCTGTATCTTCTTGTCCCTTCTTTCACAACTGTGCTGGGTTCCTTTCCTTCTTCATCCAATAAGACATTCATATCTGGTTTACATATGGAAGGGCCTGCTTAGAAAAATGAAATAACATGAATTTTTTCGTGTGGTGTGTGCCAGTTATAGGGCTTGAACTCAGGGCCTGCATGGTGTCCCTGAGCTTTGTGCTCAAGGCTAGTGCTCTACTACTTTGAATCACAGCACAATTTCTAGCTCTTTGGTAGCTAATTGGAAATAAGAGTTTCATGGACTTTCCTGCCATGGGCAGGCTTTGAATTACAATCCTCAGATCTCAGCCTTCTGAGTAGGTAGGATTAGAGGTGTGAGCCATTGATGCCCAGCATGTCACATGAAATTATAAATCTGAAAGTCCTTACATTCAAACTTGGTAAAGTTTCTAACTATGTATCAGGAATGGGGACTGGGAATGTGGCTTAGTGGTAGAAAGCTTGCCTAGCATGCATGAAAACCTGGATTGGATTCCTCAGTACCACATAAACAGAAAAAGCTAGAAGTGACACTGTGGATCAAGTGATAGAGTGCTAGTCTTCTTCTTCTTCTTCTTTTTTTTTTTGGTCAGTCGTGGGGCTTGAACTCTAGGCCTGGGTGCTGTCCTTGCATTCTTCAGCTCAAGGTGAGCACTCTACCACTTGAGCCACAGCAGCACTTCTGGTTTTCTTTTTTTTTTTTTGGGGGGGGGTCCGATAGTGGGGCCTCAACTCTGGGCCTGGGCGCTATCCCTCAGCTCTTCAGCTCAAGGCTAGCGCTCTATCACTTGAGCCACAGTGCTACTTCCGGCTTTTTTCTTACGTGGTGCTGAGGAATTGAACCCAGGGCCTCGAGCATGCAAGGCAAGTGCTCTACCACTGAGCCACCTTCCCAGCCCCCACTTCTGGTTTTCTAGTGGTTTATGGGAAATAAGCGTCTCAATGACTTTCCTGCCTGGGCTGGCTTTGAACCGCGATCCTCAGATCTCAGCCTCCTGAGTACCTAGGATTACAGGCATGAGCGATGGGCACACCGGCATAGTGCTAGTCTTGAGCAAAAGAAGCTTAGTTCAAGCCCCAGGACTGGGGGCAAAAAGAAATTAGGAGCTGGGCACTGGTGGCTCACGCCTATAATCCTAGCTAATCAGGAGGCTGAGATCTGAGGATCTCGGTTCAAAGCCAGCCTGGGCAGGAAAGTCTGTGAGACTCATTTCCAATAAACCACTTGAAAACCAGAAGTGGGGCTGTGGCTCAAGCGGTAGAGTGCTCGCCTTAAGCTGAAGAACACAGGGACAGCACCCAAGCCCAGAGTTCAAGTCCCACGGCCGACAAAAAAAGAAATTAGGAATGGCGTTTTGTCTATGTGTGTGTGTACACCACGCCTATTCTTTTCAAGAATGGAGAGTTAAAGCTTTACGTAGTTTCTCAAAAGACAGTCCTGAAAGGGACAGCAAAGAGAGTTCTTATCCTTTAGAGAATAACCTACCTAGTGAGATAAAGTTGCTATAGTTCTCCCACATTACATCTCTGTAGAGGTCCTTCTGGGCAGAGTTCAAGAATTCCCATTCTTCCTGAGAGAAGTCAATGGCCACATCCCTGAACGTCACTGAACCCTGAAAAAAAAAACAACTCATGTATTATTTGTGAAAATAAGTATTTTCTTATGTGGAAAGAGAAAAAAAATTGAGGATTTCATCACAGAGCAGAATATATATTGTATACAACTAGCACAGGGCTGGAAATTTATGACAAGAAAATAAGCATCTCAGAGTGTTCCTGTGGCTACACACATAATTAAGTTTGTATCTAAAGATACCTTGAAACAACAAAAAAAAAAAATAATAATCACCTGGGCACGATGGCTTACTCCTGTAATCTTAGCTACTAAGAAGGCTGAGATCTGAGGATTGTGGTTCAAAGCCAGCCAGGGCAGGAAAGTCCATGAGGCTCATCTCCAATGAACCACCAGAAAACTGGAAGTAGTGCTGTGGCTCAAGTGGTAGAGTGCTCACCTTGAGCTGAAGAACTCACGGGCAGTGCCCAAGCCCAGAGTTCAGCCCCACGACCAACTTTAAAAAAAAAAAAAAAAGAGCTGGGAAGGTGGCTTAGTGGTAGAGAGCTTGCCTTGAGTGTATGAGGCCCTGGGTTTGATTCCTCAGCACCACATAAGCAAAAAGAAAAAAGCTAGCCTTGAGCTGAAGAGCTGAGGGACAGCGCCCAGGCCCAGAGTTCGGGCCCCACAACCGGACCCAAAAAACAAAACAAAAAATCAAATGGCACATGTCTTCCTCTTCTTCTCTCTCTCTCTCTCTCTCTCTCTCTCTTTTTTTTTGCCAATCCTGGGGCTTGAACTCAGCACCACTTCCAGCTTATTTGGTACTGAGGAATTGAACCCTGGGCTTCGTGCATGCTAGGCAAGCACTCTACCACTAAGCCACATTCCCAGTACCATAAAATCCAAAGAAATGTATTTTTCAACTCTAATGATGAGGAAAAAGATTTCTCCCTAATGTACTATACAAAACAATCTCTAAAAAGACTGGTTTATCATGAAGTTCCTTGTCCCCCCCCCCCACCTTCCTAAGGCTTGAACTCTGGGCATGGGTGCTATCCCTGAGCTCCTTTTTGTTTAAGGCTAGTGCTCCACCACTTGACCCACAGTTCCATTTCAGGCTTTTTCTGCGATTAATTGCAGATTAGTGTCTCTCAGACTTTCCTGCCTAGACTGACCTTTCTTTCTCTTTTGTGTGAGGATTCTAGAGCTTGAACACAGGGCCTAGGTTCTGTTCCTTAGCTTTTTTTGCTCTAGGCTAATATGTCAAACAGTGTGCTGAGTGTGTTTGTAAGCCTAGCCCTTGGAAGGCTGAGCCAGGCCATCATGAATTATAGGCCAAGCTGGACTACATGGCAAGATCCTGTGGGCAGGGGGTGGGGGAAGAAATAAAAAATATATTAACTTACATGGGCCATGGTTCTCAAACTGTAAAAACTGGTCAAATCGTCTCAGTATTTTTCTGTTGGAGAACTGCAGGGTTCACAGAAACCAAAGCTGGAAGAAAAAAAGAAGCCATGAAATCAGATGTACCTCAGAATTTCCAAATCATTTATGTTAATGTAATTTTTACATGGCATTCTGTTTCCAAACTATTCCCATAACCATGCCTTTCCTATGCCAACACAAAACTGGAAGAGAGCAGCGTCTCAGTGGCCCATACCTGTAATCCTACTTAGAAGACTGAGATCTGAGGATCAAGGTTAGAAGGTAACTCTGTCAGGAAAGTTCATGAGACTAACTCCAATAAAGCACCATAAAGACAGAAGTGATACCTTAGTGGACCAATGACAGCTTTAAGTAAAAAACCTAAAGGATAGCACCCAGGCCCGGAGTGCAAGTTCCAGTACTGAAGTGCATGTGCATACACACACTCAAATAAAAAGTTACTTAGGCTAGGAATGTAGCTTAGTGGCAGAGTGCTTGCCTAGCATGCATGAAGCCCTGGGTTTCATTCCTTAGTACCACATAAAGAGAAAAAGCTAGAAGTGGCACTGTGGCTCAAGTGGTAGAGTGCTAGCCTTGAGTAAAAGCAGTTCAGGGACAGTGCCCAGGCCCTGAGTTTAAGCCCCAGGACTGCCCCCCAACTCTGTAATCTCTCTTTATTACAAACTAAAATAGTAGTTAGCCATTCTTTATGCAGTACTTATAAAGGACTCAAATATTAGAAGAGAGTCACAGGAGAAATGTAATGCTTGCCCATCACACGTGTAAATACTCACTGGAAAAAGGTGTATCGGAGTATTCTCCATCATTCCATTTATTCACTGGGAAGAAAGGTGTTTTACCAAGCCAATAGACTCATCAGGTCAGGTGTACCAGTCTAGTGTAACCAACTAGATTAACTGGAACCAGCTTATATTGTATGACAAGCTTATGTTTAGGGAGTCCCAGAGGGAGGAAATCTCCCCCCTCCTCCCCACATCCCCAACCCAAGCCAAGGCTTTTGAAGAGAATCTTAAGAGTCACGGAATGGCTGCTCCGAGATTAGAAGCAGATATTCATCGGTGATGTAGTACTCCCCTGAGCAGTTATCAGGAGAGTGGCTTAGAGAATGTGTACTCCCCAGTAGTAAAATAAAACATCACTAGTTAAAAGGAAAAAAAGATCATCTCTCAAAGAGGAAATCCATTTAACGGAGATACAACGATTTCCCTTTAAGTTTGCAGCTTCCTTTATCTGCTTCCTCTCCCCTCATCTGCTTAACAGTAGGCTGCAGCCGCCCTTTTTATTTATTTAGGGTCAGGTCGTGGGGCCTGAACTCTGGGCCTGGGTGCTATCCCTCAGCTCTTCAACTCGAGGCTAGCACTCTACCACTTGAGCCACAGCGCCACTTCCGGCTTTTTTTCTTTTGTGGTGCTGAGGAATCGAACCCAGGGCCTCAGGCATGCAAGGCAAGCACTCTACCACTGAGCCACCTTCCCAGCCCTGCAGCCGCCCTTTTTAGACCTTCGCAGTGTATGCGCTTTCACAGGAAAACAGGAAAGAAAAAAAAGAAAAAGAAAGAAAAGGAAGCTAATATCTCCCCGTCTAGGAAAACACAAATCACATTTCCTGGAACAAAGAGGAAACGCAGGTTCACCCAGACGCTGGGTGTGACGCCTGCCCCGCGATGGTCTCCGTTTCCCGGCCTGCCCAGGGACGAGCGTGGGGGGGGGGCCGAGCGGGCGGAGCCCCCACCGCGGCCCTCGCCGCCCCCACCCCGCTGCACCCCGCGGCCAGGGAGGGCGGGCCGCGCGGGAACCTGGCAGCCTCCCTCTTCTCCCGGCTTTCCGAGGCGGCCCGAGGCCCTCGGGGGTTCTCGCCGCGGCGTCTTTTTGTTGGGGGGAGCGGAGGGCATCTTCACCCCGCGCTTCACGCGGGTTAACTCGGAGCCCATTCCGGGCCTCCGAGCCCTGAGGCGGGAGGGCAGAGGACTCAGCAGGGGACCGACTGCCCAGTGGGCGTCAAAAACTCCGTGTCTCCAAGCTCCGACTCACACAGAAGGCCGCGCCGCCCCCGCGCCCATTTCCTCAGGGCGAGCGACCGACTCACCTCTTCCCCCAGCCGACAGCGCCCAGGCAGCCGGAAGGAGCCGGCGCGAAGGCTTGTGGGAAATGTAGTTCTCTTGCATCCGGAGGGGCGTGCTCTCGCCCCCAAAGGGTGCGCGTGGTGCGCAAGCGTAATAGGAACAGCCTGACAGCGCTAAGCCTGAGTCCTAGCTGCGGAGGTCTAAGCAAGTCGTCATCCAAGAGCCCTGGGTTTGTACTGTGCCAAGTCTTAAGAACTCACGGCACTAGCAGATGCTGATACATTTATACTAAGCACATATGAATCCCCCCCCAATAAAAATAGCCCCAAAGTCCCACAAGACGTACAGGTCCTTGTCTTCTTTCCTTCACCAGGATGGATGGCTTGCTCCTTCCCTCCCTTGCTCCCTTTTTGAAGATGTTAGCCTACCTTTCAGTGTCTGTGACATTTAAATGAGTGATATGGGCAGAAGATTGTCTTGTTCTATTAGCACTGACAGCGACGAACCCAGGATCTGCAGCGTGCTAGGAAAATGCTGTGTAGCACTGAGCTACATGCCAGCCCCTAGAATGCTTGCTGCTACTGCTGCTGCTTCGTTGTTGTTGTTGTTCTTCGTTAAAAGTGGCTTCGTTTCGAAGTAGTGGCCATTCTGCTGTTCATATTAACCTGGGCCCTCCTGACTTCCAGATGATTTGTTTGCGCTGAAATTTACTCTGAAGTTAGGCCCTACTTTGTACTATAGCTGACCTTAGACCCCCACAAACTCCAGGAGATGACTAAGCTGGCCCAAGATAAACAGACCCTGTGAGAAAACCCAGACCACAAATTATCCCAGCTAGCAGAACAGCTTATCAGAACCCAACTAGCCAGGTAACTCCCTAAAGAAATGCCCAGATGTCCCATTAAGACCCAACGGATCTGATAACTTCTTACTACCCCTTATTGCCCTGGAATGTCCTGCTGAGGCCTCTGGTTGCTGTAAATTTGTCACTTTGTGATTCTTGTCTTTATAAACCCTGTGAAATTTCAGCTCGGGGCTTCCTCCTAAGCTCCACTGAGTCGTTGTGTAGGACGAAGCCCGAGCTGCAGCCCATCTGAATAAAGCCTTGCTTTTGCATTTCAGAACGTCTGACTCTCGGTGGTCTTGGTGGGGGTCCTACGACGGGGGCACAACACTTCTGCCTTTTGCCAGTCCTGGAGCTTGAACTCAGGGCCTGGGCACTGAGCTTCTTTGTGTTCAAGGCTAGCTCTCTACCACTTTGAGCCATAGCACCGGTTTTCTTGTGGTTAATTGGAGATGTCTTTCAGGTGTCAGCTACCAGTGCACAGCTAGAATTCTGACTTATTAAAAAACATCAAAAAAACAAAAAAACTAAGATTAGTTTTAACTGAAACAGGTACGGATCACTACCAGGGAACAAAAAGTGAGCTCCAGACCTTTAACTTGCAATCTATTAAAGGCATTATATCTGCTATAATCCTAGCTACTCAGGGAACTGAAACCTGAGGATCATGGTTCAAAGCCAGCCTAGAAATAAAAATTGGTGAGACACTGATTTTCAATTAACCAGCAAAGAAGCCAGAACTTGAGGTGTGGCTCAGTAGTAGATCACAAATAATAATAATAAATGGGCTGGGAGCTGGTGGCTCACACCTATAATCCTACCTACTCAGGAGGCTGAGATGGGAGGACCACAGTTTGAAGCCAGCCCAGGCAGTAAAGTCGATGAGATTCTTATCTCCAATAAATTACTCAGAAAAGAATACTGTGGCTCAAGTGATAGAGTGCTAGCCTTGAACAAAAGCAACTCAGAGATAGAGCCCTTGCCCAGAGTTCAAGCACCAGGATTAGCAAAATACAAACAAAAGGACAAAACCACAAAACCATAGTCTGCACAAACACATGGTAATCATTTGGGGAATGTTTTACCCAAGATGACAATACAGGGCTGTGGTTGGAATGGATGTGTTTCTCCACGGTTGTGCTTTCTCAAGAACTCAAGTACTGGGGCTGTGAAGGTGGCTCAGTGGTAGAGCGCTTGCCTTGCATGCATGAGGCCCTGGGTTCCATTCCTCAGCACCACATAAGCAAAAGGAAAAAAGCCAGAAGTGGCGCTGTGGCTCAAGTAGTAGAGCTCTAGCCTTGAGCTGAAGAGCTGAGGGACAGCACCCAAGCCCAGAGTTCAGGCCTCACGACGGGACCCAAACAACAACAACAACAACAAAAAACCCTCAAGTACTGAAGTCTTTCATTCCTATAAAGGTTAGAACACTCCATATGATGGTTTATCTGTAACTCACAATCCAACAAGAACAAGATCAGGATGACTGGACACAAGACCTTATGAAACTGTGCCAACTTTTTTTTTTTTTGGGAGGGTTGTGGGGTCTGAACTCTGGGCCTGGGCACTGTCCCTTAGCTCTTCAGCTCAAGGTTAGCACTCTACCACTCGAGCCACAGCACCACTTCTGGCTTTTTCTTATGTGGTGCTGAGGAATCAAACTCAGTTCCTCATGTGTGCAAGGCAAGCACTCCACCACTGAGCCACCTTCCCAGCCCTGTGCCAACTATTTATCGAGTAAGTCCCTGCTCACTCTGGTAAGGTTCCAACTGAGACTGATAAAGGAACTCTAATGATTGTTTGATGCCAAAAGATCCCGCTGAGAACGTGATTTACTGACAGGTTTCTTATTTTTGTTTAGTTCTCAGGTTTTGCTCAAGTGCTTTCAAGCTCTATTGAGTACATATATTTATAATGTTATGCCTTCCTGAGGATTGAAAAGTGGGAACATTAACAAGATATTGTTGTTGGGAGGTATTTCTCAGAGGAGTTAATACTGAATTTGTCCTGGCCCAGCTTTGTACAGAAAGAAATGGGATCAGCCCACTAGAGACTAGAAGTGGGCATGCTGTCCAGTTTTTCAGAATGGGAATGAATCTGGAAAGATGCTGGAATTTTGCTTCTGTGTGTGTGTGTGTGTGTGTGTGTGAGTGCGCGTGCGCATGCACATGGGCGCACCAGGCCTGGGGCTTGAACTCAGGGCCTGGGCATTGTTCCTGAGCTTCTTTTGCTCAAAGCTAGTCAGTGGTGATTAGGATGAGTAATTTTTTTTTTTGTCAGTCATGGGGCTTGAACTTGGCCTGGGCACTGTCCCTCAGCTCTTCAGCTCAAGGCTAGAGCTCTACCACTTTAGCCATAGCACCACTTCCGGTTCTCTGATGGTTTACTGGAGATAAAGAGTTTCCCAGCTTTTCCTGCCCAGGCTGGATTTGAACCAAGATCCTCAGATCTCAGCCTCCTGAGTAGCTAGGATTACAGGCGTGAGCCACCAGCGCCTGACTGATGAGTAATATTTTATCCAAAGAGATACGTGCCCGGTCAGTTGCTAACAGATTGAAAACATCACCATTTATTTCCCAACCACACTGGAGGATCCTTATAACAAATTACATGACCACATATACACCAGTCTTTTTCAGGGCTCTTTATTTTGCTCCATTGGTTTACTTTTTCACTCTTGCACCAATACTACATTCTCTTAACGACTACAGCACAACTTATCACATTAACACTCTCAAGAAGACACTGTATGAATGTACCAAAACAACACCTAATTGTACTTGATAGGCATTTATAATAAAAAGGTAAATAGAAATCACAGTAAACAAGTGAGCCCAAACAGTGTATTCCCTTCAAACTAGAGGTAATTACACTAAGTGATTTCCATTCCATTGAGGAAAATGACTAGATTCCTGTTAGCACCACCTCATTCCAGAGGTTTTATGGTAATAAGACTAAGTGATAAGATAATCACTGCAAGTATTCAGGATAAAACATATTCATTTGTTAGTGACAAAATTGATAGCCTAGAAAATAAGGAGTCAAGTAAAACACAAAATTTAAAACATGTTTATACTTTTGAGATATCTTTTATAATAATGAAAACTGAGTGCAATCATATTTTAAATTTCAACTTGATAATATCACCATAAAGACATATATAAACAACAATTTGGGAGAAGGTAAGGCCAGCATGTAATAATATGTAAGTGATTACTACCTGGAATTTTATTTCTAAATATGACATGTTTCTCCCAGGTTAGGCAGTATGCACCTGTAACCCCAGTACTTGGAAGGCTAAAGCAGGAGGATGGTAAGTTCAAGGCCAACTTGTGCTATGTAGCAGGTCTAAGGGCAGCCTATGAAACTTTATCAAGTCACTTTCTCAATAAACAATGAAATATAATTCTTGATATTTTTAATGGAACATGAATAGGATATAATTTGAACAATTACATTGTTTAGCCATGAAGCAGATGTTTAACCAGGAAAATATTCAAACCTATACCAGATTTAGGGATGCAAGGAAATGTGTCTCTGGTTACAGGCTTGTAATTGAAGCCACCAAAATAGTCTCTACTTTTAAGAAATTATCCAATAAGGTTTAAAGTGTGAATAATAGCTGACCTAGTACCAATTTTCAGCACCTACTTTAGAAAAACTCTTGCTTACCAACAGCAAAAAAAGTTATCCAGTAAGGCATTTTTCATAGTAAGAAATTGCATCTAGCCTAAATGAAGATTGATAAAAGGGTTTAAATACATATAGTGTATAAAAGATAGTAAGAGTTTCCTATCCCAGTGGAAAGCACCTTTTGTGTGTGTGTGTACTGACTGACAGTAGGTCTTGAACTCAGGGCTTTTTCTCTGGCTCAAGGCTGGTGCTCTACCACTTGAGCCACAGCTTCATTTCTAGCTTTTTGCTGATTAGCTGGAGATAAGTCATACAGACTTTCCTGCCTGGGCTGGCAGCGAGTTGCATCCTCAGATCTCAGTCCCCTGAGTAGCTAGGACTACAGGTAAGAGCCACGTGTGCCCAGCTGTTTTGTTGGTTTTGTTTTTTCTTTTTGGTGGTTTTGGGTAGGTCCCAGGGGCTCACACATGCTATGCAAGTGCTTTTCACTGACTACACCCAGCCCCTAAAAAGCACCATTTTACGTTAAAAAAATTGGGCTGGGAAGTTGGCTCAGTGGTAGAGCGCTTGCCTTGCATGCTTGAGGCCCTGGGTTCAACTCCTCAGCACCACATAAGCAGAAAAAAGCCGGAAGTGGGGCTGTGGCTCAAGTGGTAGAACGCTAGCCTTGAGCTGAAGAGCTGAGGGACAGCGCCCAGGTCCAGAGTTCAGACCCCATGACCTGACTCCCCTCCCCCCAAAAAAAATTCTTTTAAAAGCAAATAGTTGCTTAAATAACATGATTATCAGTTGCTTTCCTTGCTAAGGCAAGTAACACTCTATAAGCTTTTATGTTGACATTTCTATCCCGAAAGTCCTTCACAGTAAGTTTCACATATTGTTTTACATTAAACAACAACAAAAAGAAAACCACCTTTTCTTTCTTAAGTAGTTTTAGTTTTATTTCTAGAGATGAGTCTCTTGACTCTATGTTGGCCAAGTGGGCCTCAAACTCCCTATGCAATCAAATTTACTGTGGCTTTTTGTCTTTTGTGCCAGTATAATACCGATAGGAGCCATTGGGGCCTGCCCGTGTCTGGCTTTAAACTCTACATTCTCCTGTGTATGCAATACCGTGCCCAGCTCTGTCTTTTGATAGGCACTTCAATGATGAGAGTGCATGGAGCTCCTGTGCTTATCTGGCAATATTGTTTTTGTTTTTTAAAGTTCTATTAAGCACTAGTGCTCTGTAGGGTATTTCAAGACATGAAGTAACCCTATGAGGAAAGAGACAGAGAAACTGGCTCAGCAGTACTTCTACTAGGTATGTTCTACTGGGCACTGCAGTACACGGTCTGCCCATGTTCAAGAGGAGGTCAGGATTCCATTTTTTATGGAAACATTATCAAAGAATTGGCAGCCATCTTTGCCTAAAGTCTTCTATCCCCATTTCACAAGGGAAGAAATTAAGAGCCTAGAGCAGTTAAGTATTTTGTTTAATATAACATAGGTAGGAAAATGAATGGGGTAAGTTCACTTTCTACATTGTTATATTAATGTAATTTCCTAAACAAATATGCAGAAGACAGAAGTCTGAGAATGGAGACTGGGGAATGCGATAATGGTATACATTATCACATTCCTTTAAGAGCAGAAAAACCTCTTAGGCTGAGTCAAGTACAGGTGTGCGGCAGAAGATTACAACATTCATAGAATGTGTCTTACATTTTGACACTGTGAATTTTGAGGTGATGGGTAAGGTGTGAGTGCTGCCTAAAGGCCTTTTTACACTCCTTACATTCGTAAGGTTTCTCACCCGAATGAATTCGCAGATGCTGAATGAGGGAAGAGTTAAGTCTAAAAGCCTTTCTACATTCCTTACACTCAAAGGGCTTTTCCCCAGTGTGAATGCTCTGATGTAGAGTAAGCTTCTGACGCAACCGAAAGGCTTTCCCACACTCCTTACACTGATAGGGCTTCTCACCAATATGAATGCTCTGATGCTGGGTCAGCTGGGAGAGGAGACGAAAGGCCTTCCCGCACTCCTTACAGTCGTAGGGCTTCACCCCAATATGAATACTCTGATGGGAAATCAGCTGTGAGTAACGGCTGAAGGCTTTCCAGCACTCCTTACACTCATAAGGCTTTTCGCCAGTGTGAATTCTGTGATGGAGAATTAGATGATAACCCCGACTAAATGTTTTCCCGCATTCCTTACATTCGTAGGGCTTCTCACCAGTATGAATCCTCTGATGGAGTGTGAGCTGCTGGCGCACTCTGAAGGCCTTCCCACATTCTTTACATTCATAGGGCTTCTCACCAGTGTGAAGTTTGTGATGGACCCGAAGGCCCGAGCCACACAGGAAGTCCTTCCCACACTCCTTGCATTCATAGATTCGGTCTGCAGTGTTGAGCTTCTGGTGGCGACTAAGGTGTGCATACTGCCTGAAGGCCTTCCCACACTCTGTACACACATATGGCTTCTCACCAGTGTGGATTCTCTGGTGAAGAGTAAGCTGTCCCCGCACTCTGAAGGCCTTCCCACATTCTTTACACTCGTAGGGCTTCTCACCGACATGGATTTTCTGATGGACTCTAAGGTCAGGGCCATATAGGAAAGCTTCCCCACACTCCTTACATTCATGGAGCTTCTCACCAGAGTGAAGTCTCTGATGTCGAGTGAGGTGGGCGGTCTGCCTAAAGGCCATCCCACACTGCTTGCATTCGTAGGGTTTCTCTCCTGTGTGAATTCTGTGATGAAAAGTAAGCTGTTGGCGCACTCTGAAGGCTTTCCCACACTCCTTGCACTCGTAGGGTTTCTCCACAAACTGAATTCTCTGCTGTGGAGCAGCAGATGTGTGCTTCTGATTAGAGGACACTTTTTCAGATGTCATTTTCACTTGACTCAAATAGCCCTCTGGAAGTGCCTCTTGTCCTGTAAGTTGTCTTTTGGAATCTCGATCATTTTGCAAACCATGGTCCTGAAGGCCGTGGTTTTTAATTCTTCCCAATATCTTCATTGAGACAAACTGATTTCAAAAAGATCATTTTCTGAAGATGACTTCTGAGTCTCCAAATCTAAAACAAACCAAGAAAGCAAGGAGTAATTTCTATAGTGAAAATGAAAAGACAACAAAAGCAATATTCAACCAATTTCTAGGATTAGAAACATGAGCCACTAGCTCATAACTGCTACTTTTTTTTTTTTTTTTTTCAAAAAAGTCACTTTTGCACTTGTTTGGCAGGTACAAGGCCCTGAGTTTGGTCCTCAGCTCTGAAAAAAAAAAAAAAAGAAGAAGAAAAATCACTTTGTTCTGTAATCTTCTCTCCATCACTCAGATCAACCTACTTTTCTTCACCCCAACCCCCAGTGTTGCCCTCTTTCTGCTGTTTCAACTTGTTCCACTTACAGAACATTTTCAGAAATATATAAACTAAAATATACTACTTGCAATACAATTCCTGCTGAGCACTAATGGCTCATGCTTGTAACCCTAGCTACTCAGAAAGATGAGATTTGAGGATCCTGGCTTGAAGACAACTTGGGCAGGAAAGTCTGTGAGTTTCTTATCTCTACCAAAAAAGTTAGAGGTGCTGGGAAGGTGGCTCAGTGGTAGAGCACTTGGCTTGCATGCATGAGGCCCTGGGTTCGATTCCTCAGCACCACATAAGCAAAAAGAAAAAAGCC